TATTATAGCAGCATTTTCACACAGATGTGTTCAGAAAGCCGAGGTCATTTAGCTTTTTTTTACAGCAGTTTTAACTGGGAGAAGAATCCTGCAGTTTACAAGGGCCATGGGACATACAATTCTAAATGCAGGGGGATAACACAGAAGAAAAGAAGTAATGGTACAAATGAACCTAGGGTGTCAACTGATGTACATGAACTTTAGCAATAATCCTGAGAAGGCAGAGACAGAAGTTAGATGAGTCTTTTGAGTTGATTTAACTCATACTGTTCAGAGTTGTGCTGCTGAAAACCTAGATTATTAGTAATGTTGCAAAACAACATATTTTCAAAAAGAAGTTTCTATTGAACCTCAATGGCGTTTTTCACATGTAATATTTTGGCTAGCATAAATCAAAATAAGTGATTCTCCCAGTGCAACAAATATAATTAATTTGTCCAACGCAGGGAAGATTCTAGTTACCAGTTGTTTTAAAGAAAAATTTCTGTTTCCCTTCAGACTTATTTATTTACTGTTTCCCTTCGGACTTATTTATTTACTTTTTCCCTATCACAAAACCTCTGGTGATGGTTAGGGAAGGTGATTAAATAAAGAAAAAAATAGACTGGGGTATGCCTTTTTTAGCACACATTCAAACACAAATCATACTTCCTAACTTTTAACAGAATGTTCACAGCTACCAATAGAACTGTTTGTGACCTCTGAAATTTCAAACATTTGAAATGGAACTGCTGTTCACTATTATTTGACCACAGTTTTATTAGAAAGTATCATTCAGTGATACCATAGAATTAATGATACATAGAATTAAAGATGGCTGTAGGAACACCTCATGATAAATTAAACACAGACCTCTTATAGGAAAGTTATTCCCCAAGCCATTTAGTGGATACTTAAAACTATTGGACTAAGGTCTCCAGTGGTTAGAATTAGTGTAATTGCTTTGAAGCTATGTATATGAAAAAAAAAATGCAAATACATATATGCAGATATCAAGAATAATTCCTGTTTAATATATATTTAATTATAATATTTAATGTGTTGTGTATTTATGTTTTGTACCAAGGAATAGAAATTGGTTCCTCTGGGAAAGCATGCTTTCCTTGGGAAAGTACATACGTAATGCATTTTGACATATTACCCTGCATATGTTTAAACAGAAATATTATTTACCAGCACATCCAGAACTACTTTGGTGACTCCTGCCCCCAAAACTTGTTTACCTGTGCTGTTTGCAATTAAATGCAAAGATTAATCCCTAACGAGTAGAAGCATGTTTATGAGTCTCCTGTATGTCACTTCAGTGGAGAGTGTGTGGCAGTCTGGTTATCAAAAATCATTGTGAAGATAATTAAATCTCCTACCCACTACTTTGATCTGAAAATCTTTATAATTCTACCATCTGTTTCATTAAAGCTCATTCTGAGCCTTTTATTCAAGTAAAAGAAACAGCCTTGTAATAGAAATTTGACAAAATTGATCGAGACCAGAAACGTCTTAGTGATGTGAGTAAAATTAACCTAGAAGCAACGAGAATTGGTGGAAGTTAACACAAGTGGCACATTTCCAAAGACATTTCTACAAAGTTCGTACATTAACCTGTTGGAACGAAAATTTTATTTATAAATGGGTCTTTGCATACTGCATTGCAAGAGCAATCTATAAACACCAAAAGACACCTAAATGGATCTGTTCTGCACATTCAGATTTTGCACACACAGAATCAAAGATCTTACATATATTTTATAAGGCTAACACATACGCAGTGATTGAAATGAAAAGTCAGGTTTCTTTCACTGGGACAAGCACTAGTCATTTCTATCTGCTTATGCAGAGTTATCTTCTTGGAAAACAGGGTAGCAAAAAGGCTTCTTACACCATAACCTCTGCTGTTTTTTGCATAAGGGAATGGCTAAACATGAGGAATAGGTTCTCATCAATGTCTGACTCAGATGCTGTCTCACTGAAGACCAAAATATCTCTCTTGGAAAATAGCCCTTAGTAAGGGTGGCAAAATATGCCCTGAATATTCACCACACCCAGTAGAGGTCAATCAGACCTAAACATGGGGAAAACACAGCAGATTGTGTGCAGTTTAATGCATGTGCTTTTGGTGCTTTTGATTTCAGTAGGATGTCTCTGCTTAGAGCTAGGTATCCACTTGCACACACTTCTGGATAAGAATGACTTCTCATTACAAGAGCTGAGAAGATGAACACATGCCAAGAACTCCATCACTGAATTATTTTTAAAGAGTGCTTAAAAATGTGGCCTTGAAAATGCCTTGCAGCTACTCTACAGTCACACTGATTTCCGCAAGGACAGTTTTCTCACAACATTTCATGAGTGCTTAAAAAATGCACTTTCGCGATGTGCAACTATGCTCAGCTGAGATATATCGTAATCAAACATAGTAGCTTGCCATAGGAGCCTTGCATGCATAGCTTTACACGCCAATTTTATTCTAAAAAGAACAATGTTGGCCTTTGAAAAACACATTTTCTTCACTAGCATAGAAGTTCCTACCCAAGCACAATGTCTTTACATCTCAGTAACTAACAGTGCAAAATACAGGCATGGCATGCTTCCATGCAACTTCATGAACCTGCGTGCAAAGATTGTATGTAGCTGTCACCACTAATGGCATGAACACATGGAGGATGATTTTTTTGTTGTTAAATGTGAAGATGAGTGCTCAGAACTAATCAAAAACACTATGCTGCAGACAGGGTGACTTTTATTCACTGTATTCTGACTGCAGGTTTAGACTTCAGATTAAGGAACATGGGCACTGAACTGCGTGGGATTTATTTCTGAATTTTATTAAAAGTGAAATCTTGCGTAGTGGTGTTGTTTTTCAGATTCCAATAATTCCAACTAGGATATAGTTGGAAGGGGAATGGAGGCATGGGACTGTCTGAGATAGACATTATCACCTTTGGGCTATTTCCAAGATCCCCCCTGTGGGTCAGTGTTAAGGAGGGAGCTCGGCTACCCGACACAGGTAGCCAGGTTAGTTAGTGGTCTCATTGCATCCCCTTGTGGTTGGGCGGCTACAGGAGCTGAGGTTTGTCCATGCCCAGAAGAACTAGGGATTGGGTAGAAACCGAACAGCGGTTCTCTTCCCAGGAAGCAATCAGGCAAGATCTGAAACATTCAAAAGGTGGAAAAAATAACTTTTTTTTCTCAGTGAAAAACTGCATTTCCTAGAAATATGCCCATTTTTCACATCCAAAGCAGTTCTCCAAGCCCATGACACTGTAGGATTCCTCCCAGCACATTTTGCAGCTCACCACAAAGACGATGAAGAGGCCTACGAGTGAGTACGGTGGAGGAACAGGGACATGTCTCTAACCACACTTAATACCTGTAATGGCAAACACAGCATGGATGGAGCAGCCCCTGCTCACACAGATTATTTATTCAGCGTGCTTTTGAATTGTCTACCTAGAATGAGTCCACCGTTAATACACCAGCAAGCAGGTCCCTCACTGAGATTGCATGAGATTTTAAACAACAGAAATATAAACAACTTAGACCGATTTTCACAAGCACTATTTTCACTTTAAAAAGAAAAAAAAAGAGTCCTTGGAATCCGTGCAATAGCCGTTGCGGTGGAGTCATTAGCTTATTCTTTTGGAAAGCAAATATGTATATTTACTACATATTTCCAGGACAGTTTGCATCTTAGCAGATGTTTTGGTAGATGTTTTTGGTAGGTACAGATTTAAATATATATATATATATATGCATATATATGAAACTGGAGCTGCATGATCTGCAGCATGAGGAGACTGTCTTGCAGGATAGAACTGAGCTATTATTTTCAAAAGCATCAGGCTGAATAGTAGAAGAATACATTGCAACCAGCATTCCTTGTCACTCAGCAACGTATTTGTAAAAATGGATAATTAACCAAAATTTCTCACAAGCAATGTTACTTACAAATTGCTCCTTACAATGACCTTTTAAAAATGAACAAAATCCCTCATAATCTATTGTCTTTTCCAAAAGAGATAAGTCTCACTAATGGTAATGAGAGTTGCATCTACACACAGAGAGCAGAGAGCGCAGATCCCCTAAGGCAGACCCCCAACCGGTGCGAATTAGCAGAGCTCCCCGGAAGTGCATTGAAGGGAGATACAGCTTGGAGGAAGATACAGCAATTTACCTCAATAGAAAATTCACCCCTTTGATGCTTATTTTCCACCCTGGCTTGCCACAAGACCTGATCACTTGTGTCAGCAGCAAAGAATCTCAATAGCTCAAGTTTAACTCTTTAGAGCAGGTCGTTTTTCCTCTGTGACAGGGCAGAAAATGAACTGCCAGAGCCAGGTCATTGCTTCCATTCTTAAACATTTTCTTTCCAAATTGCAGCACATTCATGTTTTAAAAGTCCAGTTTAATTCAATTCCCCTTTGAATGTTGCATTTGCGATGCTTACTGAAGATTCTTTTATATTATTCATACCAGTGTGTATTCCTAACACTTTTTACTTAGCCATCTCTTTTTAAAAAAGGAGCAGAGTCAGCTCAGTTACTAGAGGGAATCATAAATCAAATTTAATAAAAAAAAAAATGTAGTCAGATAGAGTAACTGCAAAGATACAGCAATAATATGATCAGGTGTGTAATTCTGAACTTAAAACACCCATTTTCCAAACCATAACTGGACTATAGAAATGTCACAGCAATATATCACAGGAGTGCACCTTCTCTCAAATGCAATTACTCCCATAATTTATGTCGGTTCATCTAGCTTGTTGTAAATCAAGGTTCTAAGCCAAGGCACATTCTCTTATTTAATTTTAAATTAAATAAATTAAAATTGATAAAAAACAGTTGATTATAAGCAAACTGAACAGAGCAATATTTTTTTCTTTTTTTTTTTTTTTAGGATTGTTCAAGCTGAATGGAAGCCCCAAGGGCCAGCTTCCCTCCCTGCTTCCTTCCTTGCCTCCACCCTTGCTTCCCTTCCTGCTTCCCTGTTTCCTTCCCTACCTTCCGTGTGCACGGCGGAGACGTAGGTCCAGTTGTAGCGCTTGACGATGTCGAGCATGGCGCGGGCCTGCAGCGTGTCGGAGGGGACCACCCTGAGGAAGTACTTGTAGAGCGTCTTGTCGCTCAGGTCGATGCTCGTGGCCGAGTAGGCGATCTGCGGGATGTCGAAGAGCTGCAGCAGGTTCTGCACTTGGATGGCCACGGAGCTGGAGCCAGGGCCGATGACACCCGCAATGGGCTTCTTGGCCCGGCCCGGCGGCTGCGCTTGCGGGTCGGACACGCAGCGGCTGCCACCCTCCCTGTCGTCCCGGATGGAGATGAGGGAGTCACGGATGAACTCGATGCTCTGCTCCAGGGCCACGGAGGAGTGCCAGCACGAGTCCCTGATCTCGCTGCCCAGGGTGATATTGGGCAGCAGCACGGGGTCGGCGTTGATTTTATCCAGGGTGTGGAACATGGCCTCGACCCTCTGGATGCCGTACTGCTCGCGCACCTCTCCGCACTTCCTCTCGGGCACCTTCTCGGCCGGCGGCTGGTGGTGGACGGAGAAGAGGGCGCCGATGATGACATCGCCGTCCGTGCGCGCCACGGAGCGCGCCGACGAGGCTGCTGCAAGCTCCATGAGCACGGCGGGGACGAGGGCGAGCAGCGCGGGCAGCGCGGCGCCGCGCCAGCCGCCCCGGCACCCTGCAGGCTCCCCCGGCCGGCCCATGGCACCGGCGCGGGGGCAAAGGGCGCCCGCTAGCGTGCTGGCATGGGAATAAGGGAGAGAAGGCGCTGGTCAGGGAATCGGCATCAAATGAGATATAAAAATAAAATTAAGGGGGAAAAAAAAGAAACAGAAGCACACAGTTTTTACTTTTGCAAATGCCCGAGTCAGTTTGCTCCAGCAAAGGCTCTCAAGAGGAAGTTTCAAGAGGGATTCACAATTAAAAATGCCTGCTTGCTTGTCTTGCCATGCCAGCTCACGGGCTCCTTTTGGGGCACGCAGGTCGGCTTTGCGCAGCAAGGCGCTTGCAGCCCATGCTCTCCTTGCTACCAACCACCCCACCACGACCCGACTCAGAAGTTTGGGAAGTTTCGTGGGGTGGTGGCCAGAAGCACTCCCTTCTCCTGGTGCCTTTGCGTGCTCCAGAGGCCCCTTTCCATGCTGCAGAGCTGCCCTTCCCGACGGGAGAGGGCGAGCATCCTCGCGGGGAGATGTCATTGAAGGGCGGCGGAGGGTAGCAGGAAAGGGCTTCCCTGCCCTTCGCATGGCATCCCCGCGCACGGGGCAAAGCTGCGGTGCGGCCGGGGCGGGGGGCAGAACCGGGCAGACACCGGCGAGTTACTACAGCAACCGCGGCCAAGCCCCG